CTGTCAGTGGTATTCACAGTACTTATATGGCAGTAAATGTATATTTACTAGTCCTACTGAACTACTCACAGTAGTAAAGTTAAGCATGTTCATTAGTGTTTGCAGGGTTGGTGCCTTAATGTGTCTATTGAAATGCTGTGTTTATATGTTAATCAATTTATCCAGTAACCCCGTCTGGGTCATTGAGAGTCCTCCATGTCACAGTTGAGATACAAGAGCAGGACAGCAGATGTTACTGCTGCTTGCATTTCACCTGTTAAGTGGATAACAGAGCAGATCAGAAAACTGAAATTTTCCTGTGAGAAATTTTGAATGATATCATTATTCAAAAACAATTTTTTTTCAATATTTTCCTGCTAGAAGTTTCAAAACAGTTCAGGATGACAATGTTTGTTTTGATTTGGCTTAAGATGTCATTTTCGTTGCTTTAAACCAAAAAAATAAAACAAAAACAAAACAAAACATTTTAAGTTGAAACAAAACGAAACTTGTTGTTTTGAATCAGCATTTGACCATAACATAGCATTTTGTTTTCGTTTTTACAAACTTCAAAGCTGAAATGAAACACGATTTTTAAAGTGAAAATGAAATGAAAAATTTTGTTTAATTTCAAAATGGTGAGTTGAAACATTTGTTTTGACATTTCATATTGGAAAAATAGCAAAACTTTTTGCCAGAATTGACAATTTCCCATGACATTTTTCAATTTTTCTGAAACTGTATTATTCAGCAGGAACATTTACTTGATGAGAAATTTCAGACAATGCATAACTAGACCTTTCTCTCCAGGAGTGTCATTCCAGCACATCTCCCCAGCACAAAATAAGAAAATATTAAACTAAATAACATGTATGCACAAGAGCAACTTTATGCAGGTGATCAGTAGCCCAATTGAAGAAAATGGAATTAGTCAAATATGTTGTTACACATAAGTATAAGTATTTGCAGAACTGAGGCCTAAGATTGATACTTCGGGGTATTAAATGTGTGGGTTTTTGTTGTGAAGTACTTAGCACACTATTATAATAATAATATTGAATTTGCAGTTTCTTGGTTTGCATTCTTCACCAATATGCCTGAAAAACTGAGTTTTAATGAGTGGATCACTTTTAAACTACAGTTTGTGATGTGAATGATTATCGTTTTTTAAACCACATCATTTCCCCCCTATTCTAATTATAGGGCTGATAGTTTCTGTGACAATGTGCATGCCACTGTGCAGCCTTAATATAAAGCTGGTCTGAAAAGAAACACAACTCAGAAGCAGTTGATTCCACTGTTCAATACATCTACTAAATAATTCAGTATCACTAATGGAAGTCTGATCTTAGTGGAGAAGCAGGCTTCTGTGGGCACTCACTGCTGGTTTTGGCAGCCAGACCCTGGAGAACAACAATGGAGCAAAAGGTGAAAAAATCTTTAACTGTTCTTGTGTTCTCTTTTCTGCTTTCCCAGAATTATATTATTTCTTCCTGGTGGCAGCTGCAGCTGAGAGCTGAGCGGGTGATAAAAAGAAATTGATATTTACAGTATGTCTGAAACAAACAAACAAAGTTCAAACCACGCTGACCTATTGACTGGCATGTGTTTTTGTTTGGTTTTAGAAATGCACTGCATCTTTCTGCTAAATGATGGGAGCAAAGGCAATGAAACACTTATTGGGGGCAAATTGCACAAGGTATTGCCTCCAAATTTCATACTCAGGTTTTAGGGTTAGAATTTTCTAAGGAGGTGAGGTGCCCAATTCTCACTGAAAGTCTGAGAGTTAGGTGCCTAACTCCTATTGGCACCTTTGGAAATCCTTGCCTAGAGGTACTGAGCATCCACAACTCCAATGTAAGGCAAAGGGAGCTGAGGGTGCGCTTAACACCTTACAAAGGAAAATAATCGGCAAGATGAATTCTCATATGAAAGGGCTTCTATTTTTAGGCACACTCAAGATTCCCAATCCTGATTATCTTTAGGAAAACCCATCCCTTCCAAAAATACTGTGAACATCAGCTGGTGGAAATATTTGGAGTCATTTACTGGTGCATTACCATTGTGCATCAACAGTCAAAAAAATCTGTATACCTTGTTCCCTTAATCTTTGCTCTTTTCCTTTCTAAAAGGAGCAGTCTTCACCACTCTTCTTTTCTTCTTGGAGACACTGTCTTAGGCAGTGAAGAGGCTAAAAGTAAAGGTTTGACTCCTGTAGCTCCTAACCCATTTTTTATCTTCTTTTTTTTTAACCAATCTAAAACTGATAGCTACAAACAAACCATAAGGGAAAAGATTTAAAACCTAGCCAGAGATAGCAGGTTTCTCTAGCAGCCTGTAAGCAAGATCTCCTTTTTAGTTAAATTTAGATTCCTTGTGTGTCTAGGCCAGATTATTAATAACCAAGGGCTGCCTTTCAGTATAGGTATTTTTATCCTTCACATGTTACCCAGACTTAACTCTTTGTCTTTATGTCCCCCTTTCCATCACCCAAGAAGACCATCTAGATGTAGGAAATAAACCATTGGTTGGGTCAGGTGAAATAATAAGAGACAAGGTGGTGAAACAGAACTTGGCAGAATCCACTGGCTGCATCTAACAAGAATATTTTTGCACCAGTTAACTGGTTCCTTATCACCATTCTTCTTCATGCTGTCCAGTTGATTTTGTCCCATCTTGCTTTAAGTACTTTGGGAGGCCCACCTCACTAGTTATGAGACCGTCTAGAAAGTCACTTGTCATAGTCCTATTAATGTCAAAGGTGTCAAACGTAGACTCTTTGGAGCAGGAATGTGTCTTACTATGTTTATACAGTGCATAGCACAATGAAATCCTGTGCTCAGTTGGCACCTCTAGGTGCTACTGTGATACAAATAATATTAAAACACACCTATTACTTAACTTTCCAGAATCGAGGTGCTTTCATTTTTGATTAGAGTTCCTCAGACTCTAATTCATTTACAGTTGAACAGATGCATAATCATGTATACAATTGAGTCTATAGCCTCTCCAAATCCTAATGCAAGTCACATCACACAAGATTAGAATTTGGTTCAATGTGTGTACTCAGTTTCATCAAATTCAGATCTGAGATGTGGTGGGGGAGGTACCAGGGATTGCTGTAACTGGGGAAAAGTGTCAGCTGAAACTGGTTTACAGTGGAAAATTGGGTTTTTAACAAAATGAAAATTTTAATGGAAAGTGACTGCTTTCTGCAGAAAGTTTCTCTCCCTCTCTTTAAAAAAACAAACAACCTCAGTTTTCCTTTTTTCAACAAAAAATTGAAATTTTCTGCACGGGGAAACATAATTCTGACCTGCTCTATGTCTCGATTTTCTCTTTAGCCCATAGAAAAATGTACAAGTCAATCTGCAATATTCTTCCCTTGTCTCACCAATCTGCTCCAACCTCACTCTTCATCCAGAGCACAGTTTTGGTGGCAATCAGATGAACAAACCTTTGAGGCCAAAGATGTCAAACATTCTAGGCTATGTGGGACAGGGAATGTCACTTACTATGTTTGTACAGTGCTTTGCACAATAGGGTCCAGCTCTCAGGTGGAGCACTCCAGGGACTGCATAAGTCAGCTACTAAGTATCCCTCTTTATTGTTGTGTGGCTTGCATAATTTTCATCCCATAAGAAGGAAGTAGATTTCTCACTGCAGTCCTGGCCATTTGACTCCAGAGAAGCCTGGCTTATATTGCTAGCCCAGCTGCTAGAGAGAACTGTTCTATCTGAACCAGTCTACTATTTTGTGTTGATGATCAAAGTTGTTTGTCTTCAGTGACATTGCTATCATTAAATCCCGCTGTGGCTGTGTGATGAAAGCAAAGGAAGAAATGGAAGGGATTAGTTTACTTCAGCCAGAAAGAATCCAGGTGGGTGCAATTATCCAGTCTGGGATTTACTGTACAGTGCATTTTATTGTTACAGGTGGAAGGTGTTAGATGATGCAATATACACTTTTTGCCAGACAGAGGACTTTCTTAGCTAATTTATCTGGAAACAGGAGAACCTGAACTGGATGTCTGCATTAACTTGGAATAGGAGCCAAAATTTATGACCCCAGAAAGAAGACCAAACCCCCAAATGCTGTGTGCCTTTATAGCCAAGAAATAGTCTCACTCTAGGGTTTAGAAACTAGAAAGAATATGCCTGACTTTAGAATGTTAGCTACATTTTTAATTCAATTGGCAATTGGGGAGCATTCTCATTTAACAAATGCAATGAGGCTAAAAGTAGGGAAAGCCTGCCCCAAGTGAAAGCTTTTATGTAATTCCAGTAGTCAACAGAACTAGAGGTTATGAAATTCCATGAAAAAAGAGTTTTGTGATATTTTCAGCCTAACTGGAAATTAAAAGTACCAGACATCTTTTTCTTTCAATGTTTCCAGTCAAGAGATTCAAATAAAGTTGGATTCAAAGCCCAGTTGACTTAAAGGCTCTTCTTGACTTCCATGGGCTTTGGATCAGGCCCATAGTGCCAAAAAGTGAAATAATTCTTTGTGTCTGAAATTTCTGAGATTTGTTAATGGCTACCTGGGAGGTAAATGCGAATCTCCCATGCGCTGTGGCTGACAGCGAACCCACGCTAGCCGTCTCAGCTCCTTATGTGTGCACATTGCAAACAGGAACATAGATTCAATCGGATTTTTTTTAATAAGTTACCTGGCACAGGGGCTCGCAGACATTAGCCCTCCTGACCCAGTACATTATGGTGCTGACACTGCCTCTCCAAGTAACAGAACTTGGGGAACTGTCACCATCAGACGAGGGTTTTGTAGAGCTTCTCTTTCCCAACAAAGCTTTACTATTTGCTCACCAGAGCCCCAGTGCATACAACATATGAAATTGCAGAGGAGGGATGCTACCCTGCAGCTCCCTTTTCTTAGCAGTAACCGAGGAACTCAAATCCTGCACCTCTTCGAGTCCTAGCCCCTCTCCCATTCCCCTGCCTTCCTCCCGTCCCGGTGGGCGAGACTGCCCCTGGAGTGACCTGCTTTTAATCAGCTTCCCAAGCAGATCACATGAGTGCAAAGTGCTCTCTCGCGCTCTGCCTCCCTCCTCTCTCGCTCGCAGTCTGCGAGCAATTGAGTCCAAGCGAGGAGCGGCGAGTTCCCTGCCTTGAGCAGCCAAATCTTGGCGAGACAATCCCGGCCGGAGGGGGAAAGCGAGAGCGCACGGGGCGGCGAGGCAGGAGAGGAGCCCCCAGATCCAGCCCGAAAGAGACGGGTCGGCCCCGCGCTCCCAGGCAGCCAAGCCCCCAGCCCGTCCCTCCGACCCGAAGGCAGCTTGGCCGGCAACTCCACGTAAGTCGAAGTGGGTTTGCTGGGGCTGAGGCGCGCGTGTCAGAGGGTTGCGCCCGAGGCGCTTTCTTCCGCTGGGGGCAAGGACAGCGCGGGGGAGCGGGACCGCCGGGCTGCCCTCGGAGCCAGGCAGCTGCCGGGCTCAGCGCGGGCGGGGCGGGGCTCTCACCTGGCCCGCCGCGGAACTGTAGCGCTGCAGGGCGGTGCGGACGCCTGGCCGGGGGCAGGTCTCCATCCGCGGGAAGCGGGCTGGGCTCCCTCCGCGGGGCCGGGGGCAATGCCTTGCGCGGGTCCTCTCCAGGTAGCAACTCGCGGGGAGGGAAGTGAGCGGTGCCGAGGGGCCGCGGAGAGCATCGCTCTGGGCATTGCTGGGGGTCTCCTCGCCCTCCCCCCCCGGCCCAACTGGTGTCGGGCACAGCTGCTTCTCTCCCGGGGCTGTAGTGGCCGAGGAGCTCTGGCCTCGCCCAAGGGACCAAAAGAGCAGCAATCTGGCTTTTCTTGGGTTGGAAAAGAGCCGCCCCCCACCCCTTCGGTGACTTGGGGCTGTACTCGAAGGTGTTCCCCAGACACCTGTATCCGCACCCCAGCCTGCTCCCCGCCGCCACGCAGACGCGGGACTCGAGCCTAAAAAGAAGCCCCCAGAGCCCCCGAGAAGTGCCGCCCCCGTGAGTAGCACTGACTGACTCCAGGGGGATGATCTGTCCAACCCCCTCCCCGCAAGCTGCTCCAGCTCCCCTGCCTGGCTGCCGCCTTCCAGGCCGCCGCCGAGGATTACTCTGAAGGCTAATAGGATAATAGAGCAGTTCCGTGCTCTCAGCTCAGCGCGATTTGAGGCAACTGCACAGCTCGGTTTAGCCACTTGATCATAACTTGGCATAAAAGGCTGGCGGATCAATATGTGGCAGTATTGAAAAGCTAAGGGGCAGGAGGGGGAACTTTACACAGTGTAAAGAAAAAAATGTCAGGATCTGCGGGCAGAAAGTGTGCTCAAGAGGAAGGCCAGCAGCATGCACCTAGGATAGGCAACCTGCTATGGATGCCTCTCTTACCTGGGGTCCTGCAGGGATCAGTTCTTGGTCCGGTTCTGTTCAATATCTTCATCAGTGATTTAGATAATGGCACAGAGAATACACTTATAAAGTTTGTGGATGATATCCAGCTGGGAGGGGTTGCAAGTGCTTTGGAGATAGGATTAAAATTCAAAATGATCTGGACAAACTGGAGAAATGGTCTGAAGTAAATAGGATGAAATTCAATAAGGAGAAATGCAAAGTACTCCACTTAGGAAGGAACAATCAGTTGCACACATACAGAATGTGAAATGACTGCCTAGGAAGGAGTACTGCGGAAAGGGATCTGGGGGTCATAGTGGACCACAAGCTAAATATGAGTCAACAGTGTAACACTGTTCCAAAAAAAGCAAACATAATTTTGGGATGTATTAGCAGGAGTGTTGTAAGCAAGACACGAGGAGTAATTCTTCCTCTCTACTCCGTACTGATTAGATCTCAACTGGAGTATTGTGTCCAGTTCTGGGCACCACATTTCAAGAAAGATGTGGACAAATTGGAGGAAGTCCAGAGAAGAGCAACAAAAATGATTAAAGGTCTAGAAAACATGACCTATGAGGGAAAATTGAAAAAACTTGGTTTGTTTAGCCTGGAAAAGAGAAGGCTGAGAGAGGACATAACAACAGTTTTCAAGTACATAAATGGCTGTTACAAAGAGGAGGGAGAAAAATTGTTCTTCTTAACCTCTGAGGATAGGACAAGAAGCAATGGGCTTAAATTGCAGCAAGGGAGGTTTAGATTGGACATTAGGAAAAACTTCCTAACTGTCAGGGTGGTTAAACACTGGAATAAATTGCCTAGGGTGGTTGTGGAATCTCCATCATTGGGGATTTTTAAGAGCAGGTTAGACAAACACCTGTCAGATATGGTCTAGATAATGCTTAGTCCTGCCATGAGTGCAGGGGACTGGCCTAGATGACCTCTTGAGGTCCCCTTCCAGTCCTATGGATCTATGGTGCAAGCAATGTCCTCACTTCGGTCTCAGAGACTTAGGGCCAAACTCTATGCACTGATAAGCACATTAATGCTGTTTGACTGTAATGGGAGTTAACCTGCTTATCTGAGGGCAGGTCTTCACTACGGGGGGGGGGGGGTCG